CTGACGTGTGGCTCTGGCTTCTGATTGGTCAATAAAGCCTGTTCTGTTGTACCGGTCTTTTTCCTATTAGGGCTCGGGTAATCTACACTTCCGTTCGAAAGCATGGTGATCAATCCGATTGGTTGCGGCTGCTCAAAGACCCTTAACTTGCTGTTTTCTAATTCATTTACACAATGAATTAAAAATTGTTTTCATTTACAAACTAATTTTTTTTTAAAATAGAAAATTTTTAAAATAGGAGCATTATTTATGTAACACTATTTTGTTACTTTGCAAATCAGGTTGTAACAGCTCAGCAGTTGCCATCGATTCAGCAATTGTTCTTAAATTCGCCCAGGTTATTATTTCATTGATATTTTTTAGACTATTTAAATTTGCTTTTGCCTTATTACTTTGAGGTTTTTGTACATAAACGGTTTTGCAGCGATCATATTTGGGCCACAATAAAAAGGTCCACGATGTTCTCAATAGGAGATTACCCCTAGACAATTTCTTTTTTGTGCGTTCATTTTGTTGAAATGCTGTGGTCGTTATTTAAGTGTGCTTCCACAGTCATCAGTTTTGACGGACGGTACTTTTCGATTTAAAGGTAATTTAAAAACATGTTCTTTCTTTGAATGTGTACTATGCTTATAATTTGTTGACCTAAAAACAATTATCTCGATTAGCGCGCTCTTATGTATACATTTTTGTTTTGTTAGTTTTAATTTAGTTGAAATTTTTCTATTTTGTGCACCTAGTGTGTACACGCAGTGCTTGTGTTCAAGAATAGAAATAATGTGTCATCGCTCATACAATTTTCTGTTACAAACATTGTTTAAGAAATAACCCCAATTGTGTCAGAACTAATTTTTCTACAAATTGTCTATACCTTCCTGTTGAAACGATTACAGATATTTGCGCTGTCGTCTAACACCCACCTTTTGTCAACGTATATCAATTTAAAATATGTACGGAAATCAAGGGTCACTTCACCTCGAGAATCAATTTATATATTTCAAGTTTTAACTTGTAAAGTTATGAAAGGTAAGAATAAAGCATTTTACTATGCTGTAAATCTGAGAAAAAAGTCAAGTTAGAGTAATTGGCCCCCGGCTTTTGGCCACAATATTAAATTAAGGCAAGTATTTGAAGATGCAAGACGAAAATGAAGATGAAGGATAAAGACGCGTGGGTATTACCTAGTATTGCAGAGTCTCCAGCATCATGTTCTTAGTTGAATTTTAGCTTTTTTAAGGACCGAGTCAATAATTGCTTACATTGCATTTACAAATATCATGGGGAATATAACATTTAATACATTGGGCAATAATTCTCTATAAAATTTAATGCCATTTACTATGGGTAATGTTCGATTGGGTTACTCGATGACCTACAACTGCATGTCGTTTATGTAATGACCAGCAATTTAACCTTGGGATCAAGGCCTCCGACTATTACCGTGATTTGTTCTAGACGCTCAAGCTTGAACTAAAATTTTAGTCGCAATATGGTTGAGTATACATTTTTTAATCTGGCAATAAATGAGATATCAACGTTAAAAATTGCGTAAAAACTGAAGTAGCTAAAAAAGTTGACTTATAAAATTTATAATTCTGGCTTGTCCGAATGGACGGCTCGCCTAAAACGGCCAACCAATAAGATTAATGGTAATTGGCCGCTCTTTTCGCCTGTGTGTTTTTTGTGTCATCTTGACGGGAATTTTTTCATCCAGTGCCTTTGTTTTGTCATCCTCTCTTATCTGTCACAAAAATGCAGAATTTTTGTTCATTTTTCATGTTGTTTGGCACCTCCAATTAGCCGTCGTCTTTTTCTAATGGTTCCCTTTTTCAGTAAGAAATTTTCACATTTCTTATAACGGATGTTTGTTGAATGTGCCAAATCAGTAGCTTTACTCCTGGATCTGTCATCAAAAATGTTTTAAAAAGTGATGGCCTGAACCTTAATGCCAAAATACAATTGTCCCGATTTCCGCAATTCCGTTCTCCCATGGTCATCACGTTTGACTACGCTCGTGATCTCGAGATCATTAGAGACAGGATTAGGTTTCGCTCTAGGACAGCTTGTACTGATGCCGTTGTCTCAATTACTGTTTTTGTGATAATCCTCCTATGTTTGACCCACTTACTGATCTGTTTCTATATCTACGAGTTTCTCTGGCTTCTCTTTCCTTACACCTAACTGTTAACGTGCCTTGTGATTTGACTTCAGTGTTCACGAATGCATCAGGGGTGAATAAATTCCACAATTGCCTTCTTTGTTCCGGATACGTCTCTGTCGACATGCGCTGAACATGCTGATCAGTAATGGTGATTTCAGATCTAGGACTTGCTTGTGGGTTGCATGCGCTGCAGACCTGCTTGTGGTTCAAACAATGCGTTGATTTAATCTCTTTTCAGCATATTCTCTCTCTCTGGTTTAATATTCTTGCCTCCATTGTGTTGCGGAAATGCTCCTTTCTTGTTTCATTGTTATCACAAAAAGAATAAGTTGTTATGAACAGTCAGTTTCGGGTTTCAATGCCGCAGTGCGTTCTATCTCATGATTTCATGCATACCTGGTGTTGCCATAAATACCATGTCGTGCGATGCTTTATGATAGCATCGAATTTTACTGCAGCTGGCTGTATTGTTGCGGTTGGGCTGTATGTTGACGTCCTGTAATAAACCATGCACTGTTTTGTGGCAATTAAATGGACACTAAAACAAGTATCCAAATGCTTTGCCCATTTTTCTACATTTCAGACGCCCCAAATTTAGCGACTATTGTGTTCTACGCCGTCGTAATCTGCCCATAGTAGTCAGGCATAGTAACTTTGTCAGGTGTCTGCAATGTTTACACAGTCAATACCTGCACAATTCGTCGGACTAACTCCTCTTCAATGTTGCGCCACGGGTCATTGCGCCTGTCCAATGATTATGACCTTGAAATATAGTAGGATGTGTTATCTAAAATGTCCCACTGTGGCCCCCTTGTCCCTGTGAGCTTTCTATTCGGATATGGGATTATTCAAGCATACTTTAATCCACTTTATTGAAATTCTTCCGTTGTCAGGACTTGGGTCCAATAGTTCTAGCGATAATTAAGCTTTTCATTGACATGCAAACAACCCATGCTACAGTTCGATTGCGTAGCACACTACTGTAATGGTAATTAGGCATAGATAGTCGATAATTTCTCTATGCTGCTCATCTCATTGCTTTGAAAAGATGACCGCGCCTCTCTCATCTCACAACAGCATTACCTATGTTCCTTTCGGCAACAATTTGTGTGATGTCTTGTTCCTGAATTTGGTTTTCGTACTTCAGGATGGATCGACGAGCAATTGACGACCTCAACGCCCTAGAGAAGAGCCGTGATGTGCTGAAAATAAAGGTTGGTGTTTTGAGTCACTGTCCGTTGCATTATCATGTCATAACCCTTTGCTTACTGTACTTTTAGATAGGGAACTTCCGCCTTATAAGTGACGTTCTACAGGACAAGACCTACCAGCTGCTGAATATTATTCGCAAGAAAGAAGACCACTTTGGTATCATCACACGCGAATACGACGAGGTCTCGAATGACATTAATTCGGTTCAGGCGGTAATCGAAATGTACACAACCCAACTGGAAGAACTGGATGCCGCCATTGAGCAATGCAAGTTGGACGGCAGTAGGGGGAACGCGAATAAATGCGGGGCACCAGCCAACACCAGCAACACCGTAGAGTCGATGGCACAACGCATGCCGCTTCACAGGTGTCGACTCAGGGCACACCTTCCAGACAACCAGTTCACCCTCGTTGAGGTGCGCCCGGGTCAGAAAATCCGCCATGTTCTCGAGAAGAAGCTGTCTCATCGCGGCTACCGGATAGAGGACCTTTCAGTGTACAGTGTTGGTTCCGGCAATGTCGTTTTGTGGGATGACGATGCGGCCGGGGTGGCTCTCGTGTCAGGCGATCTGGTTGTTGAGTTCAACGACGAGCACACCCACCGTCGCCCGAAGCACGAGTTTCAGCGTAGACGCTTCTTCGAGACCCAGCTATGCAGTATATGCCAGAAGTTTGTCTTCTTTGGTGTCACTTGCAAAACCTGCGGTCTGGCGTTTCATCAGAGATGCGTCTCGCGACTCGAGAAGCACTATCTTCAACCCACAGAAGAGGACAATTTCATTGAGATACAGCGCTTGTGAGTTGTTTCTAACTTCTCCGCAAACATCGGTTTGATGCCTTCCCCTCCACGTTGAAGTAATGCGGAAAATTTTGACTCCTCTTCACATTTCGGTCATGGCTTAAGAAACGCGTGTTCCTGGAAACGCTCTGCCATCAGGTGTTGATTCGATGGCTTTAATTGCTTATTTATAAATTCGCTCCTAGCCAAGACTCGAACGAGATGTTAAAGTTAGCCGCCATACAACTACTGTTGGGCGACTGTACTGTAGTGATGCGGGTATGTCCAAATTTTACTAACTACAACAAGAATGACAACATATTAGGTGAATGCCTCTGTTTACAGATTTTTCGGCAAACCTATCTGGAAATATTGTCCATTTTTTTCTCAGACCTCGCACCATTTCTCAGGTGACGTAATAATGCCGTCGCGAAGAAAACTTGCAGGCTTTGACGGCGAATTCACGCACACCGTCCAGCGTTTTAGGATCTGCTGCGTTGACGGAACAAATGGTGGACGAATGTGAGGCCAAGTCTGGTGAATATGCTGCGTGTAGCAGAACTTCCCATCCCAAGTTCAAGAGCGTCTTCTGAGTCGCGCGGGCAGCGTGTGGTCGAGCGTTGTCATGTAGCAGCAGCAGCAGCAGTTTAACTTGCCCATTCCCTTGTCCACTAAATGGCCTTTCATGATCAAGTTCATCGGCCAGTCTGTTCAATTGTCGAATGTGGCGTTGCTCAGTCATCGACTGATGACCAGTTTTCAGGAGTTCGTCAAAAGGATGTCCTGTTTCGACATGAATAGACTGCTGGGTGGGCCGGAATCTGCCAACGACTTTCTATCTTTTCGAATCTCGCAAAAGATATCATTTTCATCGCCCTTCACAATTTTCCACAAGAAGTCCATTCACTGCATCTTGTCGCCGGTGGACAAGCAATGAAAAGCGTGTGTTCGTACTTTGACCTAGGTTGTGTTCGGTCAACGCACGTGAGCATACCCAAATTCCAAGTTGTTGGATTTTTCCCACTTGGTGTCGCAGACGCTTGGAAATAGCCGTTTGGATGAAGCCTAACTGAGCTGCTGCAAGCTCTTCTTGCGTTCGTATCGCGTCCCCATCCAGTAGGGCCTGCGATTCCACATCTTCACACATTTGAGGCTGTTGTCCGGGGCACGGCTGGTCACTAGGATCGAAACCAAGACTTCGAGAACATCTGTGCCTACATTCGCACGTTTCATAGGACACAACGTCAGCAGCACTACGTACACCACAAATTGATTCTCCTCGTGCTTTAGAAGCACTTGTTCCTTGTTGGGATTCGTATAGAACGCAATGCTGTCGATTGTGCTGTTTACCAGTTGCCATTGTCGTAGACTTGTCGTTTAGTGTTGTGAAACCTACTACCTAATACATGTAATATTACTGTTGGGCAACTGTGCTGTAGTGATGCCGGTGTCGTCCTATTTTCCTCGTAGACTGACTTGCAGTGGACAGCGCAGTTCCAACTGGCTGGCGGCGGAGAATGCAACGGTCACGACGACGACTACACCAATGTGCGTCTACGATGCATCTACTCAGCGCTCTGGAGGGGATCGCGACAGGGGAGAGGGCTTAGTGCGCTACGGCACCCTTCTGCCACCGTCAGCTCACTTCCTCTCGCCAACCTCCCGCGAGCGCTCCTCCTCCAGTCCGAATGTTTGCAATCACATCCACCATCACCAGTCAATCGCTAACCTAGCTCCTTGGGCGGTAAGCTTAAAGGTAAGCGTCATCTGACTGCGTCTTGTCATTAAAATGGTGACACAAGAAGAGCTAAAGCCTTGGAACCATCAGCCAATCTGATTCATCGTCTAGGCGAACGATAATCAGCATGCGTCAAACCCTCCCAACGCAGCAAGCAGTTGTTTCCAAGGCAACAGCGGAGTTGAATCCAGCGACCTCAAGAGCCCCCTTTCAACGAACGCCGAGATGGAGGACCGACCCAGATCTTCAGCAGACAAATCCGACAGCGAGGGAAAGCACTCACTAATGTCCACCTCCAGGCAACGCCAGGTAACCCCTTTGCTGGGACAGCAACAACACGGCTTTTCAACATGCTTTGCCATCTCTCGCGAGATTGCTAAACCCAAAGAAATGCACCTTACTGATAGACAATAATTATGCCCGTGTCGATTGCTGTTGTGTGTGTTGACCCTGCTTAATCGGCATCAACAAATTCGTAAGGCCCAGGTTGATGCCCCTCCTGAAACCCCGGGATCACTCCACAATGGTTCTGTTGTACATTTTTCACTTGTTTTGAACCAGTGTTTATGTGACTCGTGTAAACCTTTCTCTCAGGTGACACGAAATTCCGACTCTTAAATTACCTTGTAGGCGTTTTTTCTGTTTCGCAGAGTAGACGCAGCGAACAAGGTCATTAGTGGTAAATTGTATTAATCTATTTTACCATATCGACACTTAGGTGATATTACCCTGTTCACGAAACCGAGGACTAGGGCGTGCTGGTGAAGTTCGGTTTCATTTTGTGTCCTGCCTTCTCTAGCGCCATGATTCCAGCGATAAGTGGGAGATTCCGGCCGAGGAGATTCAGAAGGGTCCTCGAATCGGCTCGGGCTCCTTTGGGACTGTTTTCAAGGGCTACTGGCACGGCGACGTCGCCATCAAAGAGCTCAACGTCGTCGACCCCACACCACCCCAGTTGAAGGCATTTAAGAACGAGGTCAATGTGCTCAGGTGAAGCAGTCCTCTCTCTCTCCCTCCCTCGTGGAACTGTCCACCGGCAGAAGGTTTTCCGCGCACTTGATAATGGCTTGTTTTTTTTGTAGGAAGACGAGTCATGCAAATATTCTGTTGTTTATGGGCTGTGTGTCGAAACCGCGTCTGGCTATTATCACCCAGTGGTGCGAGGGTTCCAGCCTCTACAAGCACATCCACGTCCACGAGCGACACTTCGATGTCGAGGAGATGGTTGATGTTGCGCGACAGACCACCCAAGGCATGGAGTAAGTGTCGTTGCAGGTTGATGCTACGCTGTACTCCCACGCTCAGCTGTCAGAATTTACCCACTTACATAAATCGAGGGTGACTTTGGTGGATCCGGACGAACGAAGCCAAGTTTGAGCTGTCAGTGAGCTGCCACGGCAGACTGACTCACTTGAGTGGCGTGGTTAGGGGAGTTGTGTAAACCATGACGAAATCCTGACTCGGGATAAGCCGTCTTGGGGAATGCTGGCTTCTCCAGCAGTTGATCATCACCTTGACTACATCCTGGTAACAGTCTACAGTTTCTCATAAAACCGCTAAACTCAAACATTCCTCAAGCAATTAGCGTCGAAGTTCTTGCCCATTATCGATTTGTCCTTTTCTTTTCAATTGGTCACATTTAGCTATCTGCACGCCAAAAACATCCTCCACCGTGATCTCAAGTCCAGTAACATCTTTCTACACGAGCGAATTGTCAAAATCGGTGATTTCGGCCTAGCAACCATGAAGACGCACTGGTGGAAAGGTGGTTCCCGACAGCCCACAGGATCAATCTTCTGGATGGTAGGTTCCACGTTCTCCGTGTCAAACACGCATTTGTCTGGGGCGCAAGCTCTTACGCAACCTTCCATCCTGCCTGCGTAGGCTCCTGAAGTAATCCGAATGGAGGGTGAGACGCCCTACACAAATCTCTCAGACGTCTACGCCTTCGGCATTGTCGTGTACGAACTCATAACGGGTCAGCTGCCGTTTCGTGGTCACAACAACCGCGAGCAGATCCTCTTCCTCGTCGGAAAGGGCATCCTGCGACCCGACATGTCTGCGATACGCTCCGACGTGCCAGCCGAGCTGCGACGCGTTGTCGCCGAGGCGTGCGAGTTCTCTCGCGATCGTCGTCCCAACTTCTCCCAGGTAATGCGCCAACAATAGGCTTCTCACCATCGTGTCTCCTAGACCGACCCTGGAAAGTATATTCCCTGAAAAGCCACTTCCTTAGCAAAACTCAAAAACTTTGATTACTCATGGTCGGCGTTACGCACGCCTGTGTGTTGAGACCAGCTGAGTACAATAGTGACGTTTTGTGGGAAGTGCCGAAGATTGGGTGCTGTGGTTGTTGAGACCGCAAAACTATGTTCTCAGTCTAGTTTTCGTCTAGCATGTCCGCATACGTCCCTTCCAAGTGTGTGTGTGTGTGTGTGTGCACGTGAGAACAGCTGAGTACAACAGTGACGTTTTGTAGCGAGTCCCAAACATGCCTGTTGTCCCGATAATTAAATTTTTCTACGAAGGTTGCGCGCCGTGGTTGTTGAGGACGCAAAACTATGTTCTCAGGCTAGTTTTTGTCTGGCATGTCCAAGTACGTCCCTTCCAAGTGTGTATGTGTGCATGTGTGTGTATTGGAAAATACTGCGTTCTTTATTGGAGTGCGGTTTTTCAGAGTGGCTTGCAACTGTTCTATGGTTGAATTTTTGCTGGCAGATGTCAGTCCCTTGAAATTTCAGCGTCGTGTGGAAGTGGAGCACTTTGACCTCCTCCTTCCACACCCCGACCCACAAACAAAGGCAGTGTCCTGAAGCTGGCGAAACTTGATGACCTCGCAAGACACAAAACCCGTTGTGTTTAATTGAATTCTCACCATAAAAATGCCTTTTTTCGGGATCTATCGGTCGATGCTCCCAAACGTCACGTCGTCGGCTAATCTACCAATGACCTTCTCCCCTTTCGATCCTTCTTTTCGTTCGATAATTGAAGCCTTTTAAGTGAAGAATTCTGTCCCAAGCCGAGTTTTTATATTCTTCATTCACTTTTGGAATTGGCATCATTGAGTGGATTCGATTTTGGTGATCTGACTTGTAGGTTCTGGTTCACTTTACTTGCAGTCAATTTTTATTCGCTGCAATTGTGTCCCGTTAAAAGTTGTGCAAAATGGGCATTTATACCAATTTTTTTAAACGTAAGTTGTTCAATGAAGAAGCAGCGTCATGATATCGGGACAAAATCTTGTCAAATGCGATGTGTCGGTTAGTTTCACGAACATGAAGGTCCGTGAACAGATTGTGCTGGCTGCAGAATTCATAATAGCACGAAAGGGGTACGAATTCTACTGAAAATTGAGGCACTGGTTTTTCTCTGTATCAACAGAATGCCACTGGAAGAAGTTACAAAGCCTTCTAGTATTCGCCCATCCACGAAGTTTGCTCTGAAAGGGCATCATTTGCCTGTAGAGGAAGACAACACCTGAGAATCGAATACAATTGTGCCAGATCAGATTTACAGGGCGCCGCAAGTACAACAGTGGCCGTCTTATGGACGCAGATGCATCCCCTGAAGAAAACAGTGACGATCCGGTACAAAATTAACGTAACCATGAGTTACGCACTGAGGATCCATAGGCCTTTGGATTGTGTCAGTGGTGCAGCTGCTGTGGCCCCAATCATCGAACGCAGAGGTAAAACCAGGTCAAGCAGGACATTCTGGCCAATGGCCGTCAATGTTCGCGGAAATTGCCTTGACGCGAATACAGATGTGCACGCCCAGCAAATCAAAAGAACTTGTTTAGACAGCAAGCTTTACACTCGGGTCAACTTTGTTGGTATGTTTGAAAACGCTAGTGCTTCCAGCTGTAAGTCCGTGCGTCGCCTGATTACTTACCGTTTCTAACTTTGTCCGAAAGGCAATCATTATCTGATGAAACCATTCCTAGCAAGTATGGTCATTCACAATTGCATTGGCTGTGTAGCAAGCCTAGCATGGTGATATTCATCACTTGATTTGCCACAATTTCATGCGCAGTGGCAATGCTCACTCGTTCTTGTCATCTAATGTCATCCTGTGTGTGTTAAGCTGTACCAACGACTCGACGATCTCCATCGTAGCTTTCGGAAGCTGCCTCGTTGCTCCTCGGAGCCGACTCTGCGAAGGTGCGCCGAGTTCGGAGGGGTTGTGGAGGGTGCAGATGATAGCGAGGATCGGGTCGACGTGCAGCCGTCTCCTCCTCCTCCTCCTCTGCAACCTTCCGCCGTCAGCGACTGCTCCAGCAAAGGCGCCAACGTCTTCCTTTGATCCATAAACGCACCGCCCCCCTCATTGTTCCTTCCACCTTCTACCTTGCAGCGCATTCTTCTTGGCAATCAGGCTGGTGTTTACTCATTTACACATGAGGAATATCCGGGTGTTTTTTTATTTTTTCTGAACCCTTGCCCCATCCTGAAATCGCTTCTATCAGCTAAAAATGTCCACAAATTACCAATTTTTTTTAATCTCACGGCAAATTATTTGGCATCGGGGTAGTGTTTGATAGTCGTGAAGTCAGTTCAATTGCACTGGCACCTTCCACGAATTTCAACGACCGTGGAACAGGTAGATCTGTAGATGGGCTGGTGTGGCTGGCTTTTTTGTCTTTCTTAACGATGTTGGGCAAAATTATGCCGCTTAAGGTGGTGTGTGCGGATGCCGCAAACACAACCGAAAATTACCCCCAAATGCATATTGGTGGTTTGCTCGAGATTAACTTGGTCGTCTGGGATGCGGGCACTTTAGTATCCTAAAATCTGATCCAGCTGATAGCTATTCGCCCATTTCAAGGTCGAATTGTCTACGACGTACATCCAGTGAGGACTAGTCACAATTTTTGAGAAGGCGAATTCAATTTCTACGGCTATACGGCCGATCTCCTGAAAATGATGTACGTTACAGTTGACTGGATATTTTAAAGAAATAGCGACTAATTTTGAAGCCATTACCGAGTTTTCGAAGACGCGAATTCATTACCACCATACAATACGTTGTCTGTGAAATCAGGACTTATCACACGTGACCTTTGGTGCTCAACCAATCACCTTTAAAGGACACTGGGATTGGTTAGGTTCTAGCGAATAAAATCACTGAATCTATTAATTTTTTGTACAAATTTAACCTTTCAGCAAATGCCCGATTGGAAACACCATGCGCTATGTCCAATTGGAATCAGCAAAACCGAACTGAATTGCTACTTATTTGCGAATTAAAGTAATGCCTCACGAATTGCTGTCCGAGCCGTTGTGCACCGGCGAAGAAGAGGTTAATTGATATTGTGTACTCAAAATCACCATAAATCGCTGCCCACCCCACCCAAAACCACATACGCGCGACAAAAGATGATAACCTCGTGGACTTGAGATTAAAAATCCCATGACCGCAAACTTGTGTGCTCACAGTTGCCGGATTTTGAAAAAAAACTTCCAAGAGCCTGTGAGGCGTTGTCGTCCTTAATACTAAGTGGTAAAATCATTTTTAATACATAATGAAATCAAGGTAGATGAGCCAGTTATCACAGAAAAAGTGTTCCCTATGGGGAGTAAGAAGGGGTCCGGCGATCGCACAGAGCCGCCTGGTTGTACGTCGTGGGAAGACAGGCTTTGAAGAAGTCGAGGAGGCGAGGCAATCGCAGTGGCCTCGGAGCGTCGCGCAACTCTGGGATAATCTCGACAACTTGCTCATTCAAACGCACCTCAACGCAGTAGTGATCGAGAGAGGGTTCTTCTACAACACAAGAAACCCGCAGACTAACTGTGCAATGTACAGAAACGAAGAAATTTTGGCCAAGGAAGTGCACCGTTTTCAATAATACAAACTCTTGGAGTCAATTATTTCTATAGAACCTGGAAAATTTCCACGGGGAGGAAACTCGTAAATAAAATTTCACTCTGCGATCCCACCACCACCACCAGACACACGACAACAATTTTAGTGGATAAGGAAATTCAGCTGTGTTATTGAGTCAGCTCACTCGCTACCACGCTACACAAAGAAATTTTTCACTTCCGGTTACGACTTGGTCCACGAAAGATGCGTTTTTAAACGGGCGGGAAGGGCAATATTGGATTTATCACGTAATTGGTGCAGATTCTTCAGCAAATTTATTTCGTATAAAAAACTGGAGTCTGTCGTTTTCCATGTATTCGAGGCTATATAGTCGTCGTCGACGAATTTACGCACACGGTCCAGCTCTTTTGAATACTTTATCCCCTAAAACGTGCTGCTGCGTGCGTTAATCGGAACAATTGGTAGTCGGATGTGGAGCCAAGTCTCGTGAATATGCCGCATGTCGAAGAACTTCCGATCACAAGTTCAAGAGGATCTTGTGAGTTGCATGAGCAACGTGTGGTCGAGCATTGTCAGGCAGCGGCGGCAGTGTGACTTGCCTGCTTCCTCGCACAGTAAATGCCCTTTTCTGATCAAGTGCTTCGCTCAGTTTGTCGGCTGTAGTGTTTTTGGTGTCACCGCAGGCAAATCTGGCCGACTTTTACATTTACGATTCTCGTGAATATACTTTTCAGAACCGTTACAATGTTTTACGCGACGTTCATTCGCAGCATCTTGTCGGCGGACAAGCAGTGAAAGGCGTGTGTTCATGCTTTAACCTAGGAGGTTGTGTTCGGTCAACGCATGTGGGGGTGCCCAAATTCGTATAAAATGCAGTGCCATCGAATGTGCTGCTTATCAGTTGCCTTCATCGTACACTCTGCTATTGTGAGAGGCTATGTAACTCACGCAGACTTGTCGTTTGGTGTTGTGAAGCCTTCAGACAGATCCCTTCAAAACCACACAAGGCCGCAAAAATATTTCCGTTTAAAGTTTAATTGCAAGCCCGATGAAAAAAGGTGCACAAACTAAGTCATACCTACAATAGCAGTGTAAACAGACTTCAGTTTTAAGTTGTATTTTGTCAAAAGGCACTCTAATTGTCGACACATCGTCTCCCAGCACTCTCTCTTCAATGCTAATCCGTGAGGGATTATTTACAACATCACAGGAGTCAACTAGAATGAGTTTTATTGCATAGGCCGCAACTGTCCCAAGCACAATCCGAATAAACGCGTCGACTATTTTTTGTTGTTGTTGCGGTTCCAGGAACCACTCCTTTTTAAACCCATCTGACCAGAATGTGGCTTTCCATTTTCATCCCCCCACGAATCGTTTTGCTGGCTGTCAGTTAATAATACGGCAATGTAAGTAACAACAAACTTTAGCTTAATCTGGAAACCCGTTTTTATGGCAATCTTGAAACATCAGCTGATAAATATATGTTTGTTTTCCAAATTGACACAAAAAATAAGTCAGTAAGCGCAATAAAATACCAGCAGACAATGAAACACTAATTTACAACCAGGAAGTCCATTTTATGGCAATCTTGAAGCCTCAGCTGATAAATATATGTTTGTTTATCAAATTGACACAAAAAATAAGTCAATAAGCGCAGTAAAATAGCAGCAGATAAACAAACATTAATTTACATGCACGCTCGCGTGCCGACTCTGTAAATAATGGCATCTATTGAGTTACAGAGTCAACAAAATTTCGCCAAATTAATGAATACACCGCCCTAGGTCAAAATTTTGTGTTGTAAACCATCTCAAGTAGCTACCCAAGCCAAGTTTTGGATACCGTTTGAGCATAATCGAGTCAACACAACCTTAATTACGCCCTATCTGGGGCAGTCGCTTATGCCTGACGGATTCAGGAGTAATGCAATCGTGCTTCGGCACCCACCTCCAGCCTCAGGGCAGTGGAATAGAAGAAAGGCTATGTTGCCAGCAAAGGGAATGATGTGGGACGATCGGAACAAGTTGTGCACCGGCAAATCCTCCAGGCGAAGCCTCCGAAGACGGGACTCGAACCCGGAGGCCATGAGGTGTTCGCCGCCCCCAGACTCCGTGGCCACAGACTCGTTGAAGAGACCCAGTTTGATGACAAGGGGGAGGAGGGTTTCGGCGTGACCGAACCAGAAGACACTGCGTCGATGCGGTTGACTGACGCTGCTGTCACCTTCAGCCCCACGATCACCACCACCACCACCTCCGTGCCTGAAGAACAAAAATGCAACACGGCCTCTCGACAGAGACGAAAGCGGGTCGTACAGCCGTTCCCCCTCACTAGATTGATTGCTTTTGCCCTACCATAACACCTCTGAACATTGCGCCCCGCGGTAGATGCCACAGACTATCACAAACACGATTTCAGTCAATCACGATTCACAAGCGCATTGTGTTATCTAAGGACAAGTTTGAGCCTGCGGGAGGTTGCAGAGGGGTCTGTGGGTAGCACAGAAAACATACGGGTTCGAGGACTCACTGCTGTGCGACAAGCAGGTCTCGATCATGCGTGGCTGCCTTCAACAAGTCCTCCATTATGGCGCCCCACAGAGGGCAGACCTGTTCGTAGTTGATGGGGAAGGGATTCGCCTTTGTCCAGTATTGCTGAAATCCAAAGAGAAGCATAAGGTTGCCCTACAGCCTACTTTAATGCCCTAACTGAGCTAAATGTTGCAGAATCGACGCACTTTGAGATCAGAGAGGTATTCGAGGACATAAAGATGTCCCGGTCGAAACAGTCGCACCCAACCCGGAAGCGGTGACTGAGGTTTCATGGCGGCGACCTCATGACCGGCCATTTTGTGGATGTCTGAGAGGTCATCTACAAAAACAAGAATATCCTAGTTTTGTGTTGCTAGCAGGAGCTTCAGGATGGATTAAAGCGACAACCTGCCTGTAGTTAGGTTCATGTTCTCCAAGTTGTAGTCACTGATCACCTCGGCCAGCACTCGGTTCATGGCAGCCCCGTCTCTGAACTTGTAGTACTCCGACCTCACGGTCTTGTTCTTCCGAATACCTTCAATGTAATTAGTGCAGTAGGCGAAGAACCGCAGTCTTTCCGAATCCTCCGTAATTGGTACTTCTTCGTCGAAAAACTAGAAAAATTGCACCGACATTTAAGTGACAAGATTAGTCTCCATGGCATCCCCCATTCACAACCAAACTGATTTCGCCTGAGATTGAAAAGTATTGTGGAGCATGAGCACGGCCTCCCAAAACGAGGTTAATCCATTGACAATCGCCACTTTGAGCTATCGAAGCAAATCGACAATTATGACTTCTGGTAGAATTTATATACGTATATCCGTCCTTTTATGAACCAAATCGGTGTGTGCCAAGTCCTGCCAA